ACGGAGATGGCTCCCCGCTGCTGCACGGCCTCTAGTGAGGTTTAAGCAGCGATGGTTTCCCCCGCTGCTGCACTGCCCTCTAGTAAGGTTTAAGCAGCGTTGGTTTCCCCGCTGCTGTACTGCCCTCTAGTGAGGTTTGAATAGCGATGGTTTCCCCGCTGCTGCACTGCCTTCTAGTAAGGTTGACCAGCGATGGTTTCCCCGCTGCTGCGCTGCCCTCTGGTGAGGTTTAACCAGCGATGGCTTCCCCGCTGCTGCGCTGCCCTCTGGTGAGGTTTAACCAGCGATGGCTTCCCCGCTGCTGCGCTGCCCTCTGGTGAGGTTTAACCAGCGATGGCTTCCCCGCTGCTGCACTGCCTTCTAGTAAGGTTTAACCAGCGATGGCTTCCCCGCTGCTGCACTGCCTTCTAGTAAGGTTTGACCAGCGATGGCTTCCCCGCTGCTGCACTGCCTTCTAGTAAGGTTTGACCAGCGATGGCTTCCCCGCTGCTGCACTGCCATCTAGTGAGGTTTGACCAGCGATGGCTTCCCCGCTGCTGCACTGCCTCTAGTAAGGTTTGACCAGCGATGGCTTCCCCGCTGCTGCACTGCCCTCTAGTGAGGTTTAAGCAGCGATGGCTTCCCCGCTGCTGCACGGCCCTCTAGTGAGGTTCAGGCGGCGATGACTCCTCGCTGCTGCATTGTCCTCCAGCAAGGCTCAGGCAGTGCACCGCCCGGCTGATCGAGGAGGTAACACATTGTCGGCGCCTGCACCCCACCACGCGCGGTCAGTCAGCAGCGGTGGCTGGCAGCGGGGCGCACCGTGTCCGGGTGCCGAGACGCGGCGCTGACCGGGGACGGCGCTGTCGCAGTGTGCGGTCTGCCGGCCGGCGTGTCGCGGCGCGTGGTCGGCGGCCGGGAGGCGGCACGCGGCGCCTGGCCCTGGCAGGCCGGCCTGGTGACGCGCAGCGGCCGACGGCACACGCTCTACTGTGGCGGCACGCTCATCAGCAGCCGGCTGGTGGTCACAGCCGCGCACTGCACCAACATGTCAGTGAGACGCAACGCCGCCGCTGGCGTCTGCCGCGCGCCTCTCGTCGGGCAGGACGATGAAAACGCTTATGACTGTTCTAAGCAACCGATGTGTAAGGTGCGCAGTGCTTCGTCCGTTGTCGTGATAATCTCAGTGCAGGCGTTAAGACAATTGCTCCGCACAAATGATATGCTGTCGTGTGTGGCGTAACGTGGCGAGGGGTTTGGCTAGGCCAGTCTCGTGCCAGGCAGTAGGCTAGACCCACTCTGTTGAGGCAATACCGTGGGCCCCACGGAGATCCTTCATCAGCTCGCACGTGTGGCACAGGCACCGCCGTCCAGCCGGCCGGCGCCGCGGCAGACGTCAGCCAGCGACAGGGAACGGCGTCCCCTGTCGGCAGGTTCTTGCAGGGCATGCGGCGGCCGCGTGAAATGCGTCCCGACGAGATCCGCCTTCTGCTCGGCGCCCACAACGTGTCGGACGCGACCGGCGACGGCTTCTGGGTGGCCAACGTCACGGCCATCTACCGCCACCCGCGCTTCAACTTCGCAACCATCGATAACGACATTGCGCTGCTCAAGCTGCAGGCCGATGTGCCGTTCGGGCCGCGGGTCAGCCCGGCTTGCCTGCCTGACAAAGGTCAGTGACTGGAGGCCCGCGGGCGGGAGGTGGCAGCTATGCAGCCAGGGTTTGAACTGGGAGATGGGCCAGGGCCAGGGTGTGAGAGCGAGTTCAAGAGAATATGGCTGTTTGGGACAATCCTGAATACTGCTTGAGTGTCATAAATGTTCAAGCAGTACGTAGCTCACGTAAATCAGAAGCACCTTGGTACGCAAAACGTTTTCGAATTTAAGTGCACACATGCTTACAATAGCAATATTAAACCTGTTACTTAACCCGCGCCTGGCCAGGGGTCTGATACAACCGGAGGAAACTGACTTTCCCACTGGGATCCCCAACTTCCAGACACCGTAGATCTTAGGTGAAATACGAGGTCACGAGAGGTCACGGAAGGCCAAACACAATTGTTTCAATAGATGCTGTTAAAACCTGTGTTAACATATCAAGACGAATATCGAGAACACGAAAATAAGTTTTAAGACTGTGGGAGATTGTTCTGATCATTTCCATGACCACAGATGGACCCGGTAAGTCAGGCCACGTTCAAAGTCGGTCTACCAGTAGCCTACAAGAACGATGCTTTTCACAATGTGCTTCTGACTGAGTCAATTGTATCGAGTGAGGCTGTGAGAGAAAAGACATTCCAGACTAAACACACCAGCTGACCTGGAGGGCATCTAAGGTCAGCTTAGATCAAAGTTGTGAGCCATCCAAATTCGGAAATTGAGGTGATAACCCAGTCTGTGTGACCAGTACAATGATTTGCTGTGGTCGGAAATTGAGTATTGTACATCTACCATATTAACAAATAATAAAAATGGACATAACACAAAAGTGTATTGTACATCTACAGGCACTCAAGTTCGCCATGGCTGATGTCTACATCATACAAAGTCCCTTGGACGGTTGGCAATGTATTGTAACAGTCTGAAAACAGGTACGCTGGTATATGATATATGCATCATCAGCTGTACAAACACAATGAGGAGACGGTTACATGCGTTGCACACGTTCATCTAGCCTCTCTGGGCCGCTATTGGCAACATAGATCGTTGACCTTGGATGACCTGATATGGTCCTGAATGTCCTCACGTGACTTATGGTGACCGCATTATGCATCACAATGGTATCGCATGTTTTTCACTAAAGTATTTACATTCTACGTCTAAAACTACCTTTAAAACTGCCTATTTTGAGCTTAGCATGTATCTTGCTAAAGGTACCTATACAGGTAGATCATGACCTGGGCCAAGGTCATGTGATCTGTGATCATACAATGGTGGGTGTGCCTAGGTTAGTGCCTTTTTGCTCACATACAAACACCGAATCTGCACAAAATGCGTGCAAAGTTGCAATATTCACGAAAGATAGCACGTATCTGATAGCACATACATATCATATCTGATAACTCGCCTCTGGTCACTGCCCTCCCTTTTCTGAAAAATCTGAAAAATTCAACTTGTAAGCATTATCGTGTTCCATTACTATGACGACTATGATGATGCCTACCCCAAATAACCAGCAAACATGTTATAGGTGGTCAATTTTTAGATGCTGAGGTTTAGAGGTTTGTTTAGAGGTTAGAGGCTCTTTGACTTGATCTTAGCCAATGCTTTTGGCAGAAAAGGGTAAGGATGCCAACTTGATAGATGAGCAGGTACTAAAATTCGTGTTGCCGTGAGCGTTCGTTTTTGACCCGTGCTCACAAAACAACGGTAGGGGAATTCACCTCTCCTGGCCGAAGCGCGGGGGTTAAGTTACTACCGTCAGTCGCCAAGTCACGTAAAGTCACTATTGGACTCGAATGCAATGAAAGTTTGTTACTGTTACCCAATCCCGTGCATTTATTGACGTTGAATACTTAAAAGTCGACTCATAAACAACAAGAAAAGAGAGCGCTGTGATGTTCAGTGCAGCGACCACTGAAGAGTAACCCACGACTGGGCATGCTTTTTAGAACACACTCTGCTGATACCTCAAACAATTAAAGGGAATGGTCCACATTTTAAAAGATTGAAGTAAGCACCATATGTGGTCAAATAAGTTTACTCTTAACTACTGATATACTTGCAAAGGGGGTGTTCCATATTTATATGGGTTTTTTTTACTGAAATAGCCATCTATCTTGAAGTCCTTTCGGCACTGTTCACAATCCTGCCCTTCTTAAGACCTAAGCCCCTCTAGTTCTGAGTTACACGCCCACGAAATGGAGAAAGATTTAGCGGGGGAGCATTTCAAAGTCACGTTGGCATTCATGACGTCATAGTCGTTGAAATCCTGCCATCCCATGAGTCATGCGGCAAACAAGGCAAAAGAAAATGTCGAGGTGCTCATATCTGGCGTTCGTGAGCACGATTTTAGATATAACGGTCGTCAACCGCCTCCAATCAATGTTGGGCAAGGCAAGATGACGTATATAGGAACATATTTTACTAACATACATTTTTGCTGTTCTAGAGCAGTCTTTTCCACTTAAAATGCACACCAATAAATTTTGTGAGCTTGTTTCATCATATTTGATGCCTGCTTGAATGTCTTTAAATGTAAAGCATTCCCTATAAGTGGAAAAGACTGCTTCAAACACGACCCAATTCTCTGTTTAGTAAATATGCTTCTCAATACGCCGTTGTCAGATTACTTCATCGTTCCTTGCACAGCATTGATTGAAAAGCCAATTGGCGGCCGTTATATCTAGAAAACGTGTTCACAAACGCCAAATATCAACCACTGAATAATCATATTTTAATTGAGGTTAGTCACCGCATGGATAATTTGATGGCAGGATTTGAATGACGTGATTATAACGCCGTGCATGCATGGTGAGTTTGAAATAGTTCTTAAAAAACGTCCGCACATTTTTGCGGTCATGCAGCGCAGAAAACTATAGGGGGCGTTAGGTCTCAAAAAGGGCAGGAATTTAAACAGGACCGAGTGATCTTTAATACTTTTTATTTTTAGTTCATTTATTGTCATTCATACATTACATATATAATTCTATGTACATTATACATATAGTTATACATGCATTATACATAACATTGAACTTACATTATAGATGCATATCATTTATCGTTCATGCATACTACTTCAGTTGAAAACCACACACAAATGCAGAACACTTCTTTTAAGTTTAATGACGTCGCTGGGTGGTGTCACTGCAGCATCTTCAAAATATCTTGCGACAACTTTTTTAAATGCCTCTGCAGATTGCGAACTGTTCCGAAACAAGATCATGCACGCTGCCCATAAAAATAGAACGCACGGGATGTGGTCCCATGCCCATTTTCTACGAATAACACCGGCGTAATCTTGTCACATTCATCGCTGTCATCTCAGTCTATAGTTAAGGTCTTTGGAAAATGGAAAGCTCTTGAATAAAATGAGTAAAGCGAGAGTGGGCTACGTTTGTTCATATGAGCTAACTATATTTCAACTCGTTTTGTTGCCATCCACTTCCTTTTGTTTACTAAGTTCTTAAACGTTGGATGAGTCAGTTATGGCATAAGTGGTTAACCTATCTTATGGACACTTACCTCTGTTTTGTCCATGAATATAGTTTTACCATCATCGTTTCTTTTCGGCCATGATGCAATTTGCACGTAATTATGTATGCCTGTTTGCATTCAGTGGCCATCGTATGCTGCACTCAATTATGCATAACTAGGACTGACCCATTCAACGATGATTTTTACTTGCAGTGGCTTTTTTCCATAGCCTTTTTCTTAGGTACCAACCAGCATATACATATATAAAACGTTGTGCCAATTCCCCCTCAGAAAACTATGCGAGGTAAGTTTTTCACTCACCATTCATTTTACAGGCTCCCGGTGTGTTGCCAGCCTGCCACCAAACGTGCATATAGAGATGGCCAATATCTTCCGGATGTGCTGGTTGTTTGAACTATCGCCTACTTCTTTCGTGTCAGTGGATTCACGACATAGGGCCAGTTAATTCTCCTACCGTTGTCAGTTGTATTGAGTTCATAAAAGTACTGGATGACGCTTGGCTTTCAGCCAGGTATGCATCTTAAGTCAAATGTTCTCGGTGGAATGCTGGGATACGAACCGGGTGCCCCTGATGGTAATTCCAGCGTTACATCATAAAGTTCATACTAGCCCGAAACATTTTGAGAGGAGACTGTCAGTGGTAATCGGGATGATCTTCTATCAGATGTCTTTATTCGCCACTGGCCAAAGTGACGCACCGATTTTTTGCTGTCTCACCGTGACTCACCGATTTTTCTGGCTCAAGAAACAATGTTCATTTAGCAATTAGTGGTGGTAATGCTGTTTGCACCATAACAATAAGGGCTAATCTATTGCACCCCCGCCTTGTTCCGAAGTCGGTTAGTTATCTCATAAAAAATATAACTAATTCTAAGATGGTACAGAAGTTGTGCAATGTATGGCATGACAAACATTAAAAGGGGATTAAGATGCCCTTCCTCCAATAATTATATACGTGATATCCGTTAAGTAAGTTGCATTTTTGATGAATTTTCGGTCACAGACCTTGCTCACAGAGTCCAAATTGGAATGTGCCGCCGAACTACTTATTTCTGCTTCCGCTGCTGACACGAAGTCGGCTCAGGAAATCATGCAGCTCTTAAGATTTCATCCTTGTATCCATGTTCTCATGCAGAGATGCGTTTAAATGCACTAGACACGCAGCGTTACAAAATATGCTTCGTCCCACTTTTACTTTTCCTGAACGCGTCATTGATAAAAAGTACCAGAGTTGTAATGCCCACACATAGTTTCCACCCCGGAAGCAGGTTTGAGCTCCATATAGAGCATCGATCTGGTAGGCTTCGAGATTTCAAGGAGTGAATGAATGCTGCGTTGAACTGAAGCGAAATTCAGCGCATGAAAATCGGATTATTAAATGTCTCTCAACATCAGTGAGCAACAGACGAAATCGTAGCTCTGTCAGTGTAACGCTTGATTGAGAACAGCAAGTTGACCGGTCCGAAAGTGGTTTTCTTTCCATGCTTTCGCTGCAAACCGCCATGAGAGCTT